CAGCATCACTCAGTCCCCAGTGTCACCTAACATATATCTGTTTCATACCCTTCGCTAAGCACAATACTACACGATACTATCGCCGATTTTGAAATTTGGTGTTTGGTTCATTTTCTTCAGAAGTCGACAAAATTGCTTTCGAATTCGATCCCCAGGATACCCAGCATCAATTAATCCACAGGGTCACCTACATATTTTTTCCTTACCTTTTGCCAAGCACAAAACTATCGCCGATTTTCAATTTTGTTGTTGTATTTTCGTTGAGAAGTGATATGAATTGCTTTCGAATTTGCCACCCCGCTGATCTCCAGCAATGGTCCACAACTATAGAAAGTTAGGTTTGCTCCTCCTATTAGCGCGCCTGGCTCCGGGGAAGTAGGTATTTCCTAGGCCCCAGACAGACCCAGAAAATTTCAAAATCATTGGAAAAATTAGTTTTGCTTCGTATATGTCATTTTCGCACATAATATGGTCCATAATGACTATAGAAAGTTAGGTTTGCTCCTCCTATTAGCGCGCCTGGCTCCGGGGAAGTAGGTATTTCCTAGGCCCCAGACAGACCCAGAAAATTCAAAAATCAAGATGAAAAGTAGTTTTAATTCGTATTTGTCATGTTTGTACATATTATGGTCCGTAATGACTATAGAAAGTTAGGTTTGCTCCTCCTATTAGCGCGCCTGCCTCCGGGGAAGTAGGTATTTCCTAGGCCCCAGACAGACCCAGAAAATTCAAAAATCATGAGGAAAACTAGTTTTAATTTGTATTTGACGTTTTTGTACATATTATGTTCCAAAAATATTGCAGAATGTTAGGTTTGCCCCTCCTATTAGCGCGCCTGGCTTTGGGGAAATTTGTATTTCCTAGGCCCCAGACAGACCCAGAAAATCAAAAATCATGAGAAAACTTAGTTTTAATTCGTATTTGTCATAGTCGTACATTATATGCTCCATAATGACTATAGAAAGTAAGGTTTGTTCCTCCTATTAGCGCGCCTGGCTCTTATCGTCCCTCATCATCGTCCCTCCTCATCGTTCGTCCTCATCGCCCCCCCTCATCGTTCGTCCCCATGTCCCTCCCAGTTCCTCATCGTCCCTCCTCATCGTCCCTCCTCATCGATCGCCAGGAGGGGTCGCATTGTTTGGAGATTTTTGAATATGTTCGAATATTTTTCCAGTATTGTAGAATGCTTGTATAAACCATACCGTAAGCCCATTATTTAATTCCCTTCGGGAGTCCCGCCGACCCTTAGGCCGGGAAAGAATTGAATAGGATGCTGCCTCAAGAGGCGGAGAGCGCTGGCTTTCAGCACCACTATACATGTTAGTGGTGCATGGGTGGTAGGAAGCATGGGAGGTATTAGGATGGCAACAGGTAGGGTGGCATCAGGTAGGATGGCACTAGGTGGTAGGATGGCTTGCCGATCTGCTCTTTCATCAGCGCAGCCCACCTTGAACGTGGGGACTGCGATTGGTCAGCGCCCGTTCGCTGGCCTCGGTCGGTCATCCCGCCTTCGGGTTAGGGGAAGGGTAGGTGGCACCACATGTGGTGCACGTTGCTGTTGGTCGCTGTCGTCGACAGGTACCTTCTCGCAGCTGTGGGGCTTAAGGCGCGATTGTCGCGTGCGTGCATCGTCTCGCAAAGGCGTTTTTGTAGTTGTTCAGTGTGCGTCGGCAGCCATGGAGAACAATCGTCAGAAACGTAAGGAGATTGAGAATGGTGAAGCGCAGGGCGCTCCTCCAGCCAAGAAGAATTGGTCACAGAAAGACTTGAGAGATGATCTGAACTATCTCGGGATGTGCATACAGCAAGGCGAGGAGAATGCTTTGAAAAAAGTTGAGCTAAGAAGGAAATATGCCACATACCATAAAAGATGTCCTTCGGAAGCAGAGAAAGCACGCTTGGAGCAAGATTTTGATCAGGAGGTGAAAGGAATCAAGGAACGATCTAAAGTATTCGAAGACATGCTCTTCGATTGGAATCGTCGCTTCAAGACTCTAGAGGTGGTGAAGGAGAAGTTGGGTTCAGGCGCAGTCGAGCCGACTGCTGGCGGCTCTGGCACAAGTGCCAGCTCGAACGGTGAGGACGGGAGAATCGTTCAGATGAGTTGGGCGGATCTGCAAAAGTTTGGAATGGTTGCTGGCCAGGGTGGCGCCCAGATGGTTTTGCAGCAGCAGCCAGAACAGCCACAACGGCCACAACCAGCTCCTCTTGCACTCCAGGACGGTGCTGCGTCTTACGACGACGAAGACATGAAAGCGAAGGACGAAAGCTTGAAGAACCTTGCTGAAATGCACCGTGCCCTGTTGAAGGACTATGTCGAAGATGGCGGAAACGTTGAAACCGAAATAAAGGCCTACAACGAATTCATCGATGAAGATCCCGTACTCGACACTGATCTGGAAATCACTGAGGAAGAGCTGAAGGAATGGAAGGAAGGGGCTGGGAAAAAGTATGACGAGGAAGAGGTATACGACCTTGTGATCAAAGCTGTCGATGAGTATGATGGTGGTGATCTTCCAGCAAAGATGGGTGAGAGTATCAAGGACTTGGTCGCTAGGGCGCTCAATGTTGCGCAAAAGGGTTCGTCGTCATGTCAGGCGTCCAATATCGAGGATGTCCTCAAGGAAAAAGTGCCGGGGTTCAAGCCACGGCGGGCCCGCCCAGACTCTGACGACCCTGACGCGTCCGAATTCGATTCTGATGAGTTCGAGTCGGCCGACAGTGACGAGGATATTGAGGATGGCGTTTCAAGGGCGCTGGATCTTGCGAAAATAGAACCAGAGAAAGCTGACAAAGAAGATAGTGAAGAATATAGTGAGAATGAACCATCTTCGAAGCTTGGCCCGAATATCGCTCAACTGTTGGACGCGCCGAACGGAATTGGATTCGGAGAGTCAGACGACGAGAGTTCGGATGAGCATAAGAATGGCGAGTGAGAGGGTCGGCTTAGGATCGTAGTCGATGACGGGTGGTCTGGCTTGTGAACAGTGGCCGTCACCATTGACATTTGACCGTGTGTGAAAAAAAGTGTGCGCGTACATCGTGCCGCTGGCCGGCCGCTGGCTTAGCACCACATGTGGTGCACGTTTGTCCAGTCCGCAGCCGTTTCTTGCTCATGGTTCAAACCAACACGCCGGACGGCCAGAGGGGTCTGCGGATTCGTGTTTCAGCAAGTAAATAAGTTAAATCCTAAACGAATATAAGAAATGCTACATAATAGAACATCATAGAACATATTGTCATCTTGTTACCATTTAGCCTCCGACTCTTGCCACCCACCTTGTTTTTTAAACATTTTTTGTTGCATACTCCGTTACATCCCAACTATGACCTCCCACCCCTGGTGTTTACTGGCTGCTTGCTGTTGCAGGTCGGATGCTGGATGCTTGTAGACCCGGATTCTGCCCCACCCGCTGCCCCCCGCTGCCCCTTCGGTTCCGGGCACCTGTGCGGATGGATCCTTGACGGCCTTGGGTCCCAACCCAGAACTGTGGAATTCCTTGCTGTGCAGAACTTTTGGGTACTCGTTGGAGGTCTGGGGATAGGGACCTGGTGGGGGCGAGGGGCGTGGGGGTGGTGGGGGCGATCCCGTACATCCAATGCCCCGTAATCGTTATTGTCCATTGTCTCGTCGTCATCCTCCTCGTATTTCGTTAATCGTCTTGTCCTCTCGTCGTCGTCGTATTGTTTGTTCGTCACGTCGTCATCGTCATCTTCATCGTATCGTTGTCATCGTATCGTTGTTCGTCTCGTTGTCATCGTCGTCCTTCGTCATCGTCATCGTCTAATCTTCACCCTCGTCTGTCATCGTCATCGCCTCGTTGTCTTGTCGTGTATCGTCTCGTTAGCATCTTCGTCTTTCATCGTCTTCGTCGTGTTGTTAGTCTCGTCTTCACCCTCGTCTGTCTTTGTTATCGTCTCGTCGTCTTGTCGTGCATCGCCTCGTTAAATATCTTCGTCATTCGTCGTCTTCGTCGCGTTCTTAGTCTCGTCCTCATCCCCATTTTTCCATTACTCCGCTGGAACTCCCGCTGGGCTGTGGCTCGGCTGGGTGCTTGGCTGGCTGACCACTCCGTTGAGTTCCGTTTAACTCCGTTGAGCTCCGTTGAACTCCGCTCCGTTGAGCTCCGTTTAACTCTGTTTAACTCCGTTGAGCTCCGTTTAACTCCGCTTAACTCCGTTGAGCTCGATTTAACTTTGTTGAGCTCCGTTGAGCTCCGTTGAGCTCCATTTAACTTTGTTGAGCTCCGTTGCATCGCCATCTTCTCGGCGTTTCGTTGTCAATCGTCGCGCCCGCATCTTCTTCTTTTATCGTCATCGTCTCGTCGTTCATTGTCTCGTCGTGTATCGTCTTGTCGTCATCCTCGTCTCGTCGTCTGTGTGTTCATCGGCTGGCATAGCAATCGAAAAAGCATATTTCACGCACGCCCTTACCCCTCAAGCAGAGTGAGCAGATTCTAGGGACCAAGTCCAAACATATCCAAATACACGATAAAAAATATTAATATATTTTAAGGCTTCGCCTCTACCGCTGACCCCATCTGGCCGACCCCCGCGCCATCCTGCGCCTGAATGTGCGCAATTGCAAATGGCGTGGTCATAAATTGAAAGTTATTTGGAATGACGCTACGGTAGAGCGAGGATGCGTAGGTGGCACCACATGTGGTGCATGGAGTGTAGGAGGGTTTTGAGCATGGGAGGTATTAGGATGGCACTAGGTGGTAGGATGGCTTGCCGATCTGCTCTTCATCAGCGCAGCCCCACCTTGAACGTGGAGACTGCGATTGGTCAGCGCCCGTTCGCTGCCCTCGGTCGGTCATCCCGCCTTAGGGTTGGGGTCGCACCATACGTGGTGCATGGGTTTGGAAGGGGATCATTCCTGTTGGTCGCTGTCGTCGACAGGTTCCTTCTCGCAGCTGTGGGGCTTCAAGTGCAGTTGTCGCGTGCGTGCATCGTCTCGCAAAGGTGTTTCTGTAGTTGTTCGCTGTGTGGCGGCAGCAATGGAGAACAATGGTCAGAAATGTAAGGAGATTGAGAATGGTGAAGCGCAGGGCGCTCCTCCAGCCAAAAAGAATTGGTCACAGAAAGACTTGAAAGATGATCTGAACTATCTCGGGATGTGCATACAGCAAGGCGAAGATAACGCTTTGAACAAAGTTGAGCTAAGAAGGAAATATGCCACAGACCATAAAAGATGTCCTTCGGAAGCAGAGAAAGCACGCTTGGAGCAAGATTTTGATCAGGAGGTGAAAGAAATCAAGGAACGATCTAAAGTATTCGAAGACATGCTCTTCGATTGGAATCGTCGCTTCAAGACTCTAGAGGTGGTGAAGGAGAAGTTGGGTTCAGGCGCAGTCGAGCCGACTGCTGGCGGCTCCTCAGACGACAAACCAATGACTCGGGGGGAAATGGTGGCAATTTTGCGACAATGCCAAGCAAACCCCGCACCAAAACTGGTTATCGAAGATCAGACGAAGAAGTTGGACAATTTCATTAAGAAGATGGAAGCTCAAACGAAAGCCATGCAGGGCGTGGCAGACTTGGTGGACAAAGAAGTGGTCCTCGAAACAATATACCAAGACTATGAAATCGACGATATCGTGAGCAAACTCGAGTTGGAGAATAAGCTGGTTGAGAGGCTTGTCGGCGAAGACTACTTAGATGAGGTTGTTGAGATATTGAGCGAAAGCCTTTTGGAGAAAGACGCTGTGACCGAAAGGCTGAAGAAGAAGCGCAAGGCTGACGACTTTGGCGAGGAGAGGCAGGCGAAAAAGATAAAGGCTATCGGCCCAGATGGCACCGAGTATTTTGGTGAGGTCAAGAAGGACGGCCGGTGGCATGGTTATGGCGAGGCCATTTTTGTAAAGGTAAGGGATGCTAAGGTGGAGTCATATAAGGGCCAGTGGAAAGATAACACTTTGCATGGCCAGGGCAGATTGGTTTGGAAGGATGGTGCCCATTACGAGGGCCAGTCGGAGAATGGCAAAAAACATGGCCAGGGACGATTGCTTTGGAAGTCCTGGTGCCCATCGCGAGGGCCAGTGGGAGAATGGCAAGAAACATGGCCAGGGCATCCGGACTTATCAAAATAAGTCCAAATACGAGGGCCAGTGGGAGAATGGCAAGAAACATGGCCAAGGCATCCAGACTTATCAAGATAACTCCAAGTACGAGGGCCAGTGGGAGAATGGCAAGAAACATGGCCAGGGCATCATGACTCTTGAAGATGGTCGATCTTACGAGGGCCAGTGGGAGAATGACGAGAAGCATGGCCAGGGCATCCTGACTTTTCAAGATGGTCAATCTTACGAGGGCCAGTGGGAGAATGACAAGAAGCATGGCCAGGGCATCCAGACTTTTCAAGATAAGTCCAAATACTAGGGCCAGTGGAAAGATAACACTTTGCATGGCCAGGGCAGATTGGTTTGGAAGGATGGTGCCCATTACGAGGGCCTGTGGGAGAATAGCAAGAAACATGGCCAGGGCATCAAGACTTATCTAGATAACTCCAAGTACGAGGGCCAGTGGGGGAATCACAAATTCCATGGCCAGGGCATCAAAACTTATAAAGATGGTAGCTCTTACGAGGGCCAGTGGGGGAATGGCAAGCAGCATGGCCAGGGCATCCGGACTTATAAAGATAAGTCCAAATACGAGGGCCAGTGGGAGAATGGCAAGAAACATGGCCAAGGCATCCAGACTTATCAAGATAATTCCAAGTACGAGGGCCAGTGGAAAGATAACACTTTGCATGGCCAGGGCATCATGACTCATGAAGATGGTCGCTCTTACGAGGGCCAGTGGGAGAATGGCAAGAAACATGGCCAGGGCATTTGGACTATTGAAGATGGTGCCCATTACGAGGGCCTGTGGAAGGATGGAGAATTGCTTGAGATGAGTTAGCTATGGTAGCGTAGGATTGAGGATGGCCTTAGGTTTTTAGGGTGGTGCCTAGGTACAGCGGGGCCGCCCCCCCCCATTGACACTTGACCGTATGTGAAAAAACGTGCGCGCGCATCGTGCCGCTGGCCAATGGCTTCGCACCACATGTGGCGCACGCTTGTCCAGTCCGCAGCCATTTCTTGCTCATGGTTCAAATCAGCACGCCGGACGGCCAGAGAGGGTCTGCGAATTCTTATTTCAACAAGTAAATAAGTGAATCCCTAAACGAATATAAGAAATGTTACATGATAGAACATCAACATATTTTCATCTTGTTACCATTTAGCCTCCGACTCTTGCCACCCACCCTATTTTTTTTAAACATTTTTGTTGCATACTCCGTTACATCCCAATTATGACCTCTGGTTCATGCCGCCCACACCTGGTGATTACTGGCTGCTTGCTGTTACACGTTGGATGCTGGATGCTTGATGCTGGATGCTTGATGCTGGATTCTTGATGTTGGATGCTGGCTGCTGCATGTTGGATGCTTGCTGCTGCATGTTGGATGCTGGATGCTGGGTGGATGCTTAATGGATGCTGGAGTCAGGATTCTAGATGCTGGATGTTGCATGCTGCTTGCTTGATGCTGGATGTTGGATGCCAGATTCAGGATTCTAGATACTGGATGCTGGCTGTTGCAGGTTGAATGCTGGATACTTGATGCTGGATTCTTGATGTTGGATGCTGGATGCTGGATGCTGGCGGGATGCTTGATGTTAGATGGTGGATTCAGGGTTCTAAATGCTGGATGCTGGCTGTTGCATGTTGGATGCTTAATGCATGCTGGATTCAGGATTTTATATGCTGGATGTTGGTTGCATGCTGGTTGCTTGATGCTGGATGCGGGATTCAGGATGCTACATGATGGATGGTGGCTGATGCATGTTGGATGATGCTGGATGGTTGCTAGATGCTGGCTGTTGCAGGTTGGGTGCTGGATTCAGGATTTGGGATGTGCTTAAAAAGAAGGTTTTTTGCGAAGTTTTTCTCCAGCTCCTTGGCAACAACTTTCGTAAATTAATGAAACCTGTTCAAACGCACCTTGCTAATACTAGATAATAGGAATTGGCAACGTGCACCCCTGTTGTGAGCTTACCCGCATGGATTTCCATTCAGATTTCTACTCAGATTTCTGCTCAGATTGGTTGGGCTGGCTGGCTGGCTGGGTCTTTCTGGCTGGGGCTGGCTGGGCTGTGCTGGCTTTCTGGGTTTCTGCTCAGACTTCTGCTCAAATTTCTGCTCAGACTTTTGCTCAGACTTCTGCTCAGACTTCTGCTCAGACTTCTGCTCAGACTTCTGCTCAGACTTCTGCTCAGACTTCTGCTCAGACTTCTGCTCAGACTTCTGCTCAGATTTCTGCTCAGATTTCTGCTCAGATTCTGCTCAGACTTCTGCTCAGACTTCTGCTCAGACTTCTGCTCAGACTTCTGCTCAGATTTCCGTTCAGATTTCTGCTCAGATTGGCTTGGTCGTGCGGGCAAGGATTAAGCAGGGATTAAGGGGAGCAGGGGCTGGTGCTGGCTTCTGGGGCTAAATTTCTGCTCAGACCGCTGCTCGACTTCTGCTCAGACTTCTGCTAAGATTCTGCTCAGACTTCTGCTCAGACTTCTGCTCAGATTTCTGTTCAGATTTCTGCTCAGATTGGATTGGTCGCGCAGGCAGGGATTAAGCAGGGATTAAGGGGAGCAGGGGCTGGTGCTGGCTGGCTGGGTCTTTCTGGCTGGGGCTGGCTGGGCTGTGCTGACTTTCCACGGCTAAATTTCTGCTCAGACTTCTGCTCAGATTTCTGCTCAGACTTCTGCTCAGACTGGTTGGGCTGGCCTGCTGGGCCGTCCTGGCTTTCTGGGGCTAGATTTCTGCTCAGACTTCTGCTCAGACTTCTGCTCAGACTTCTGCTCAGATTTCTGTTCAGATTTCTGTTCAGATTTCTGCTCAGACTTCTGCTCAGACTTCTGCTCAGATTAGCTGGTCTGTGCTGGCAGGGAGCAGGCGGCAGGCAGGCAGGACAGGCAGGGGGCCAGGGGGGCGGGCAGGATTACAGGATTATAGGATTACAAGATTACTGAGTTCAGGAACACTAGGAGAAGACCTGGAGAAACATAGAAACATAGAAACCTTGAAGCACAGACAGCACAAAAGTCCATATTTCTATGTTTCTATGTTTCTGTGTTTCTGTGCAGCGGTGCTATATAATTCTAATCTGTTACATTATGCTGTGGAAAGCTCGCACGCACGCCGGGCCCAGGGCCGGCCCAAATGGCCATTTGGAGAGATGAACCACTTTTGAAATGGTTTTTTCGTTTCCGCAGAGGGGGTCTCGACATTCGCCTCTTCAGTTTTGTACATAAATAAGAGCAAATGCTTTGTTTTAAGTGAAAAAACGATCCAAAATCATAAATTTGCACAATTTTTTAAGTAAAACACATTTCAATCATGATTTAACACAAGGTCTAAGCTTCAGGCAAATTGAGTGTCGAAAAATGCTATTTTATAAGTAAAACCTGATTTGAATGAAAACGGCGTTGCCGACCGCCAAGCCAGAACACAGCTTTTCTACAGCTTTACTACAGCTTTTCTGCAGCTTTTTCACAGCTTTTCTACAGCTTTTCTACAGCTTTTCTACAGCTTTTCTACAGCTTTCCTACAGCTTTTCCATAGCTTTTCCACAGCTTTTCCACAGCTTTTCCATAGCTTTTCCACAGCTTTTCCACAGCTTTTCCACAGCTTTTCCATAACTTTTCCACAGCTTTTCCACAGCTTTACCACAGCTTTTCCACAGCTTTTCCGCTGGCTGGCTTGCTGGGTTGGTTGGCTGGCTGGGTTGGCTGGCTGGGGTCCTGCGCCGGAGGGGCGGGGGGGTCGTGCACCAGGGGGGGGAGGAATCCTGCACCAGAGGGGTCCTACACCAGAGGGGGGTCCCACACCAGGGGGGGGGTCCTACACCAGGGGGGTTCCTACACCAACGGGGGGCCTTACACCAAGCGCCCCCTCCTACACCAGGGGGGTCCTACACCAAGCGCCTCCTCCTACACCAGGGGGGTCCTACACCAAGCGCCCCCTCCTACACCAGGGGGGTCCTACACCAGGTGGGGTCCTACACCAGGGAGGTCCTACACCAGAGGGGGTCCTACACAGGCGCCCCCCTCCTACACCACGGGGGTCCTACACCTAGCATCCCCTCCTACACCTGGGGGGACTTACACCAGGCCTCCCTACACCAGGGGGGTCCTACACCAGGCGCCCCTCTTCTACACCAGGGGGGGTCCTACACCAGGCGCCCCTTGCTACACCAGGGGGGGTCCTACACCAAGCCTCCCCTCCCACTGGGGAGGTCCTACACCAGGGGGGGGGGGGGGGGTCCCACCCTTGTCCACCGTGTTCTAGCTGTCCCCCCCCCCATTTTGTGGCTTAATTTCCGGGGGGGGGGGGGGGGGTCCCTCCCTTGTCCTCCTTGTTCTAGCTGTCCCCGCCCCCTTGTTGTGGCTTCATTTCCTTCTGTTGTGGCTCTTTTGTCTCCCTGCTGTGGCGGTCCCCTTCCCCTCGTTTGGGATTGCCCTGGGCGTCCGGGGCAGCTGCGAGCAACGACAGGGTCGCCTCAGATGGTCCCTTTAATCGCGAAATCATGGTATTTCCATTGGCTCCCACCATTGGCTCCAAGTATTAAAATATGTTTTTGAGGGTTTGGGACGAGGGGCGCCCGCTGATATGAAACGCCTCAATTTTTAGAACGCGCTCGAACGCTTGGAGAGGGTCTGAACGGGACAACTTTTTTGTTTGATCGTTTCGATAGATTTGGGTACGCCTTGTTTGTTTCATGTATTTTTCCTCTGAGCGTCGAGTTGTGAAATGATTTCTTTTCGGTCCCAATGTATTTTGTATGTTTTTTTTGATGATACGAATGATGCTGAATGCTGGATGCTTGATGTTGGATGCTGGATGCTTCATGGTGGCTGTTGCATTTCAGATGCTGGATGCTTTATGCTGGAGGCGGCTGGAAAGTATGGATTGCACTAGGGATTGCAATAGGGATTGCAATAGGGATTTGGACCGGGATTTGGTTTGGGATTTGGATAGGGATTTGGATAGGAATGGATAGGGAATTGGATAGGGAATTGGATAGGGAATTGGATAGGGAATTGGATAGGGAATTGGATAGGGAATTGGATAGGGGGACCAGCTCAGGACCAGCTCAGGACCAGCTCAGGACCAGCTCTCACCCTGCTCTCACCCTGCTCTCACCCTGCTCTCACCCTGCTCTCACCTTGCTTACACCAGCTGCTGACAAGCTGTTGACAAGCTGGTATCGTCTTCGTCTCCCCCGCCCTCCAACTCCCAACTTCCAACTTCCAACCTCCAACTCCCAACTTCCAACTTCCAACTCCCAACTTCCAATGAGTTCTACCCGCAGCTTACTCAACACAAGTTTACCAACAATGCTTAAAAACAACGTTTTTTGCAAAGTTGTTCTCCAGCTCCTTGGCAACAACTTTCGTAAATTAATGAAACCGTTTGAAAGGACGCTTACATTAGTAGAAAAGTCCCGTTGTAAGCGGAAACGCTGTAATAATGCACTTTTTGCACTTCTGCTGCACGTCTGGTTGAGCTGCGGAAAATCTCGTAAATTAATGAAACCGTTTGAAAGGACGTTTACATTAGTAGACAAGTCCCGTGGTAAGCGGGAACGCTGTAATAATGCACTTTTTGCACTTCTGCCGCACGTCTTGTTGAGCTGCGGAAAATCTCGTAAATTAATGAAACCGTTTGAAACGACGCTTACATTAGTAGAAAAGTCCCGTGGTAAGCGGAAACGCTGTAATAATGCACTTTTTGCACTTCTGCCGCACGTCTTGTTGAGCTGCGGAAAATCTCGTAAATTAATGAAACCGTTTGAAAGGACGCTTACATTAGTAGAAAAGCCCCGTGGTAAGCTGCGGAAGCGCTGTAATAATGCACTTTGT